GTCCTATAAATTCTTAGGAGATCTTTAGTGAAGTAGCCAGTGGTCTTGGCATCTTATGGTGAAACTCAGCATCAAATTCTTAAGTCTTAACTACCAAATAGAGATTTTAGTCAAAGTATTTATAAAAAGACAGCCTAGGATTGCTAAGTACATGTTTATAAACAGAACCCATCAAGGGACTTGTCAGTGTGCTGTTTTTAGGACTTTGATGCCCTCTGCTGCTTGTGGCTTTCTTATCTTTTGCGGAACACTGAGCAAAGGAGGAGCAATCATATTTTGTGATATCATTGGTCATTAAATGCTATCTCTTTAAAAAGGATCCTTAAACAAAGTTTCATGAATGCCCAAATCTGAAATCTGTTTGTTATAGTTTACTAGTAGCTCTGCAATATGTAGACAAATTTAGTGGAGATCAAAGAATTTATTAAGATGTTTTTTCCACTGTGCCTTGACCTGTTATTTATAATTTATTAATCCAAAACATATACTTTTCTTAGTGATAAATGCTGCTCACTCTTTCTACAATGGAACAACTACTCTACCAATATCAGATGAAGATAGAACCCCACGAAAAAGGATTAGCAAAACATTAAATATGACTACAAGTCCTGAAGAGAAAAGAAAAATCATTGGGGATACATTTGTTAAGGTATCTATCTTTTTAATATCTTTAAAGTACTAATATTTTTTTGGAATTTGAGTATTCCTTTTTCTTTGTAATATCAAATAACCAATTTTGATCCCCCCCCCCCCTTTCAATTTTGGGTGGTGTTGTTGATAGCTGCCATCTAGACTCACAGTGATCCTAGGTGCAACAGAACAAAACCCTGCCTGACCTTCTGTCTGTTGCTATCATATAGAGCAGTGCAGTCTGTCTTAATTGTTCAAGAATAGATTTTTTAATTGATTTTAGACTAATTCTTTGAATATTTCAGTGGCTAGATTTCAAACACTGAATGTTTGCATACTCCTCGAATCTTGTTAAAGGAGTTTATTTTGGGACATTGGTAGTTACCACTTCCTAGTCAGATTACAAAAAGACTCTTAGAAATTTAGTTCTAAGTATAA